TTGCATAGACGAGTGCAGTTATGGCATCTGCCATACTCGGAGGCATTGGTGGAGGATTTGGGACTTCATCATTGTCTTGTGAAGTACTTGCACCAGTTCGGGTGTTAATACGAGGCATCTGTCAGAGAGACACGTTTATTTACATTATTCTTTATTGAAAGCATTTAAAAGGTTTCATGCTACAAAGGGTTACTTATTTAATTTACATGTCTGGTATCCCACAATACAACCCTAGTTTACTAGGAAAGCAGTAGAGGAACTATTACTACTCCGAGCTCTCAGTCATCGGCGTCCGTGTCCATATCGGACTCAACCTCATCTTCATCGGAAAAGTACACTAACTCCTCAGGATCCTCCTCCTCTTCTTCATTCTCGACTTCTCCTGGATCTACAATCATTTCTTCATCTGTAACTTTACCATCCCCATGAGGAGGATGAAGTTGAGCGTACATCATGTGGACATTCTCGTGAAGAATGGCATTGTCCATCTCCAGGTCTTCTACGTAGAACTCCAACTCATGGATGCGTTCATTGGCCGCATCCTCTCGTGTCCAGGCTTCATTCCGCAACTCGGTATTCTTGGTGATGTCCCTTTCCATTTCCGCCAGCTTCTCTTGATCTTTGGCATGGGCTCGACGAAGAGTGTTGAGCTCCTTGGTAAGGTTCTCAATGTTGGCGGGATTGCTTGAAGATCCTTCATCTCCTAGGGTCTTGGAACTTCCTTCACCAAGATCACGGTTACGCGGTGCCAACTGGTGACGAGGGACTCCGTGAGGTCCAGTGGACTTGCGTGCGGTTATCTTGGTCTTTGCCATAGCCTGTAGAATTTAGGATAGGACTATAAGGATAGCTTGAGGATAATGGAGGTTAGCAAGAAAGGGATTGACATTACTTACCCAACCACTTTTAAGGGGAATTATTATGCAAGGTGTTCAAGCATGATGCATGAATCGATCTTACGAATTCGAATACAAAAGATTTATACAATCAAAAGTACTAGATTTTTAATACATAGGACAAACCTAATCATATTATCCACCATAAACTTTCAAATAAAATAGGATGGAGGCTAGATTAGAGGGAAGAAGAAAGAAATTTGAACTTTAAAATATCAAGTTTACTTTCTTTGATCCAAATCAATTTGAAGGTTTTCCAAAGTAACCTACAATGATCTTAGATAGAACCTGCTCTGATACCAGCTGTGGCAGAACCTCCTAAGAAATCGGGCCCACGTGCACCTATCGATGTCTCTACAGACCTCAGATAGCGTACACAAGTTCTCAACAACTTAACAGATCTGTCGGGTGTCCTCGGGAAACCCGAATCATCCACGAATCTTTTCCAAACAGGATCCCAATCACAGTCATTGCAGATTACAATAGTTTTCAATATACATACCAGAGATTATAAAGCGGAAGACTTAAGTTTTGATATTACAAACCAGTTGTTTCAAACTTACAAAACCATAATTGTCATACAACCATAGTAGCGGGATAATATTACATTAACATTATTTATTTCACACAAACTAGTGCCTTGTCCAAAGGCCATTCATCATTTCTCATCGTCATCGACTTCAAACACTGACATGCAGCAGGGACCAAAACAAGCCTGCGCATGCGACTCACCTGCAACAAGAGTTAACAAACCCTGAGTACAAAAGTACTCAACAAGACTGACCCGACCAAAAAGGGCGAAGGTCTTAGGGATGCAGGTGTTGGGTCAAGGTAAGGATGTAGAAAGATTCAAAAGTTCTTTGCCAAAAGCTTACTATTCTTGATCCTAGTTTCAAGTTTTACCCCTAAGTATTTTAGTTCATTATCTCCAACCAAGTGTTCATATCCCATGTTCTAATCCTTCTCATTCCATTCTTTTTCTCATGTTTTAGTAATTCACCAGTCCTGCATTGCTTCTATAATGAATCGAGTCTCCATATCCGCGGAGCACCAGCAATTTGAATTGATTCAAGTCCCAGCTGGGGATTCCTTATCACACGACATATGTAGAACTTAATCTTGCATATATCAACCTCGCTACCGGATCCTCCTATACTAAGCCGTCTCCACGCCACCCGAGAGCACAAAGACACCTCAAATCCGCCACATTCAAGTCACGAGGGTACACGCGCTTCTCCGCCATCTCACCACTCCCGGTCGTGGGCATTAAATCTTAGTATCGGATTAGCCAAAGTAGGCTTACCGGAATATGTGACCAGTACTACAAAGTGTCTCGTTCAGAAGATCCACAATGAGTGGCCTTTAAGCGACATAGTCGGCAACATTACCCAACATTCAAGATAAGCCACCCAACTAGTTTCTAGTTCATTCTATCTTCTTTCTTTCTTTCTTTGGCCAGTATGCCATCTTTGATTGTATCGAAACTTTTACTTTGAAAACCTACCATAAAGCATACTAAGCAATTCTACGCCTTTGTAAATGAAATCATCTTCAACAAGGTAGGCAATGCATCAAGTAGGTAACATTTGAATAAATCAACTTAATGCAATAAGTAACATAGGTGATAAACTTTTTAAAGTAAACAAGGCAATGATTTAATGCATAAACCGGGGCTTGCCTTCGTTGATGATCTCAGGTTCCGGATCAGCACCACTATTATCGAATCCCGTGACAACTGGGGATTCTTCCAGAACTTGCTCAACTAGAATCGGTTCACTCTCGGATTCTATACGAAATAATAGCATATGCTTCAACATGATGATAATGTAAACATGATGCTTTCATGGTGTATGAAATATAACAACACCTTGAATACAACTTTCCTTCACGATACAGTTACAAGCCAAACTAACCAAACCATATTTATAACGGATGTGACCACGTCAGCACCGACCACTTCGGCAAGCTTTCCGACCACTACGGTGAACTCTCCGACCACTACGGTGAACTCTCCGACCACTACGGTGAACTCTCCGACCACTGCGGCGAATTCTCCGACCACTAATCTTGAAACCCTACCGGTCACAAAACATGATCAAACACTAATCAAACACTTAGGGTTTGCTTTTATTTATTTTTGAATTAATTTGGAAATAAGCCCAAAAATGATCTTGTTCCAAATGACCTCAAAATTTTATGTAAGCTTTCTCATGACAAATTAGTGTACCAAAACAAATTTCATAATTTTTGGAATTATACAGTGGCCTACAAAAATCATGGAAATTGAATTTATTAATTAATGGACTGAATATTTGAACATTAAAAATTTATTCAAATTTCAAGTTTCAAATTTTTAAACCATACTAGAGCATGTACAGAAGATACACACAAAATTTTAGAATTTTTGAAGCTATGATTAATTTCCTACAAATTCCCAAAGTTTCAGCACTATTCAAAATCAGAAAATAATAAAACCTCACGGTTCTTCTCCTTCTTTCTCACTGACAGCCCGACCCCACTCGTTAGTGACTCATACAGGTCACGGCGGCGCTGCCATCACTGGCCGGCCCAAAATGCGCCGACGGTGACGCTCCGGTGAGGCAGACCACACCCAAATGATCTACACACTCCTACGAACCCATCCCCGCCCTTTGAATGGCAGAAGGCGCACCGGAGAAGACTCCACGTCGGCCATGGCGGCTTGAGCACGACGGCTCACGACGTAACCCCGGCAATGGCGTAGTAGAGTCTAAAACAAAGTGAGTATCGCGTTCAGTAGCTCACCACGGTCACACTGGTACGTTTGGTGAAGACGGAGACGATCTGGAACGACCTGGCCACGTCGAGTCGATGGTGGCGGAGCTCGGCCGGTCTCGGGGAAGAAGACGTTGCGTCGGGCGATTCCGGCTAACCCAAGCGACGTGAGCAAGCCACAGAGAGCGCAAGACCGAGGCGATCTCGTTGGCGTAGCTGGGCACGACGGACGCGGCTTGACGATGACTACGGCGAGCGACAGAGCTAGCTGGCGGCGGGGCAGAGCAGAAGAGGAAAATGGGGATGGCGGCGGCAGCTGCTGCTATTTATAGCCGGGAAGGGGTTGCCCGGCGTCGACAGCGCACGAACGAACCCGCCACGGCACCAGCTGCGTGTCAATGCGTGAGGAAGCGGCGCAATCTGATCGGCGACGACATCCGCGTGGCGCCGGCGGCAAGCAGAGAGGTGGCGCTCGACTGGTTTTTTTTTCAATTTTGGTGTATTTACAGAATTGCCACTGCGTCAATTTTGCAAATTACTAACAAATTTTCTAAAGAAGTTGAAAATCTCCAAAAATGAAAGTTGCTCAATTTTTCAAACTCTACAACTTTGCTTCAAGGAACATTTTCAAATTCTGCCTCCATTTTTAAATTTGAATTTGGGGTGCATTTGAGTATTTGAATCATTTCAAAATTACTCCAAATTTTATATGTAAACTTGAAAAACTTTGAATACCAAAGTTGACCCTTATAAAATAATCTTCAACTTTGCTTTTTTCCTCAACCCCAAATTCCACATGGATTTTGAATTAGTCAAAAGGAAAAAAAGGACTTTTATAATATGAATTTGAATTCAAATTTGATTTGTCTTCCTTTTACTTTAACTTTGATTTTTTACCAGTAACATGGCCCATTAGGGTTATTTGAGTCAAATGACACATGGCCTCACATGATCACATGAAATTTGACCCTTGTGGTCATGATTTTTATTTAGGGTTTTGAAACACATCACATGAAATAACAACATTATGAAATAAAGCTTATTTAGTGAATGCATTCAAAATTTTCTACTTCATAAATGCTTTGCAATGCGTATGATGACATGTCAAATTTTAATGATAGGTCAAAACAACAGAGGTGTTACATGCCCTCGAGGTCTTGACAGAATGACAGCTGTTTTTTTAGAGGGAGCATCTTGACAGTGTGCTTGCTCGCGTCACATCTGTAAATGGAAGCGAGGAGGTTGCAGTTTGATGGAGTGTAAGACATACAAAACCTCCGGTGAGGCGGCGGTTATTAGGTGGGCAACACATCATAGCTAGTAGGCTAAGGCTAAAGATCATCGGCGGCGATGGCAACCAACGCTTCGTCTCGCGCCGCGGTACTGCTCTTTGCGGTGTACGCGTCGCTGGCATCGGCCACGACGTACACCGTCGGTGGCGTGCACAGCTGGATGCCCGGCGTCGACTATGCTGACTGGGCCAGCGGCAAGACGTTCGCCGTCGGAGACAAACTATGTGAGTAAGCTCTAGGTGCCTACTGCCTATAGGTTGTATATCAGTCATATGTATCATCGTTGCGCTGCAGCTTAATTACACATCATTGATTAGCAAAGCAAGGTTGACTGTGCGGGGGAAACCGTGCCGTGCGCAGTGTTCAGCTACGTGAGGACGGATCGCACCGTAACCAAGGTGAGCAAGAGCGAGTACGACGCCTGCTCCGGCAGCGACGCCCTGAGCGAGGACAACACCAGCGGCTTAACCACGGTTACGCTCGCGACGCCCGGCATGCACTACTTCATCTGCATCATGCCCGACCACTGCGCCGGCGGCATGAAGCTCGCCGTCAACGTCTCGGTGACGGCCTCAGCTGGCAGCGGCGGCCTGGAAGTGACAGGTACCAACGCTGGTGGCGGCTTGCTGGTTCCAGTGAATATGGCTCCCATCGTCGCCGCCGCAACGGGGGCTCTAATCGAGCTTGGGCTGCTGTGACGGAGCACAGCCGCGTACGCCGGGTCGCCGGCGGCTCAGCATGTCAGGGCACAGACTGACAGACAGTTCATGAGTCGTACGTGTATAATACTATTTCGCCGTATTATACACGTACGACTCATGAGTCCTGTACAAAACGTAGGAAAGCTCATAGCTAAAGAAAAATTCCTGTGGCTTGTTCAGCATGCTGATTATGGAGGGGCCCGAACACAAGCTGCTAGCTGATGCCAGCTAGTAATAGACCACATATATATTTAGTTTAAGTGCAGTGATTAGTGATAATATGGTTATTAATGATTGTATCTTATTATTATTCTCCTTCCGGTATTGTCTATTCTTGAGTTCCAAAGGCGTAAGTTTTCCATTCATGTATTTTGGTATCCTGTAATTTTTCCATTCATGTATTTTGCATTCTCGTGTTCAAACAGGCCTAAGTATGTAAGAAATAAAAATGCCACCACACCAGAGAGCAGAAGATCACAGTCGAACAGGAACTTCCATGCATTGCAACATGTAGCGCAACGGCACACAATGACACAACTAACTAAGCGTCTGTTTGCTTTGGGAACCATACGGTTTGGGTTAGCTCTATCCCAATTTTTGGGTTAGGTTGAATCTATCTCACGTTTCGTTAGGGCATGTTCGGTTGACACCAAAACCAAGGAGGTTGGAGGGGACTGAGAGGGGGATTCAATCCCCTACAAATCAAAAATCCCCCTCTACCCCTTCAATCCCTCTCATCTAAAGGTAAACGAACAGGGCCTTAGGGGGACAGGGTTATTCCACGTTTTTTTGTCTAGTTGGAGATATATTAGCTGTGGGTTCAGGTTCTGACACATAGGCCCCTCGCATCAACCTTTCATACCCTCTTCCTTGGTTTCTTGTCCATGACTCAACCGCCGCCACCACTCGTCGTCAGCTCGATCGCCGCCTCGGCTTCTCGTCAAATCGACCGTCGCTATCGCTCATCCATGACTCGGCCGCCGCCCCTGCCACCGCAGCAGCCGCTACCCCGCGCCATTGTCAGAGCATGCCCTGATCTGCACACCCAAGTGGGTTGAAACAATTCCTTCGTTTTGGTGGAATTGAATGGACTGGGATCCATGGGGAATGTACCCTTTTAGGGTGAACCCAACCATTTGACACCCAACCAAACACTAGAAAAAATGGGTCCAACCCTTCAATCCTCAAACTAAACACATGCTAACAGAACCGCTAGCCACACTCTTTTTGCTCTTCCACCATCGGTCCCCTTCCTCCCATTTGGTGACCTCGCCAGTGTTAAGTTGGAGAGGAGACCATCAGCATTACAGTCCAGTCGTGGTAGTTAGAACTTAAATTAAATAAACTGTGCAATATGGGTTACCGGCCGGATGGCATCATTTTCGTCGATTCCTCACTGGATCTTGTTTATTGTACAGAGTTCTGGAGTAAATGCCTATCTAGGCAGATAGCGTGGCACTCTTCATGTGGTTCTTTATTTTTGCAAGGCTGATGCAATTGGTGGGAAAGTTATCTGGACATCCGGTTTTAGTATGGCTGGTATTGGTGCCGTTGGATTGATGATCTCTTAATCATCTTCAATGATATGGCGATCGATGCTCTTTCAATGTGTCACGTGTGTCCTGAGAAGTTCCTGTGGGTAAGATTATGCGGCTTTTCTAAAGTTTGGGGCATGTGTTGTATGTTTCGACATATTAGAACTCAATAATTGTTCGAGACCATAGATAGGAAGTGAAGAATGTCATTAGAAGGCTATAAATTTACTCTAGTGTATATCTTATTTATTATCTAGAGACTTGATGCAAATAGTAGAGATGTAAATGTGCTATCAAATTAATAGAATCACTCCCTAATGCGCAAACCGCAAACCGGTCGGCCCTCCGCAGTATCCAGGCTGCTGTTCCGCGGAAGGCCAGCGCCCAGCGTGCTGTTACTGTGCCAGCATGTCGTTTCTGGGCCGGCCCTTCAGCTCTTGTCGTCGTGCCATGAAATTACGGTAACACTAAGAAACTGGCGTCCGGAATGACCACCCAGAGAAACGACCACCCAGAGAAACGTATGCAGGGACGGAGGCAGGAAGTTGATTTTATGAATATTAGGAGCCAACATTGTTAAATTTTCAAAATTTATTTGAATTTGAAAAAAATTAGTGGAAAATTCACATCAATAGGAGGGCCTGGCCCCTGCCCCCGCCCCCTTGTCTTCATCACTGAACGTATGGCCACCATCTATACTTACATGCATTTGCACAAAAATGCCTTTGGTTCAAAAAAAAATTATAGACCACAAACTTACATGAGCCTGATCATATTTGCGAGTTAACTTAGCATGGTCAACATAAATAGCATCTATTTCCGTATGTGTCTGATATGTTAGAGCCACATATAAAATATTTATATGGTCGGCTTAATAATTTATTTTGCCTGATTAACCATAGTCAACACTGTGCCAAAATTTCATAATGCACTGTCTTTAACGATAATGCTATGAAGCGAGCATCCGTCCGTTCGGACGGACCGCTCTGCGCGCCCTGCCCGCACCGCTCGCTCCGCATGCCCCGTGCCCCGCTTGTCCACGCCCCGCCCGCCCGTGTTGTTGCTCGCTCTGGCCCGCACAGATGTGCCTCGGCCGTTGCGCACCTTGCCTGCTGCAGCCATCTCACAGGGCCGCCTCCACCGCGCCAGTTTGTCACGCCGCCCGCCCATGTTGCATGAAAAGTGTATGTTGTAAACATATGTGTCAAGTGTTTTAGAAGTTCCAGATGTATGTTGCAAATGTTCCATATGGATGTTGCAAAAAAGTAGATCTGGATGTTGCATATGTTGCAATAGCTATACACGTATGTTGCAAGTGTCTATTGAAAATGTTTCATCTACTTCAGACGTATGTTGCAAGTGTTTTATCTGAATGTTACATATGTTGCAGTGGCTATGCGTATATGTTCTAGTGGCTACACACATATGTTGCAAGCCTATGTTTCAAATGTTTCATCTGCTCATACGTATGTTGCACGAAGTGCTTTCATGTTGCAAGTGTTTCATGAGTAGGCGCAGGCGGTCCTTGTGTGCGCGATACGGATGTTGTAAAAGTAGATCTAGATGCTGCATATGTTGCAATGGCTATACATGTATGCTGCAAGTATCTATTCAGAATGTTTCATCTACTTCAGACATATGTTGCAAGTGCTTTTATCTAGATGTTGCATATGTTGTAGTGGTTATACACATACGTTGCTAGCATATGTTCTAAATGTTTTATTTGTTTCAGACGTATGTTACAGAAAGTGCTTTCATGTTGTAAGTGTTTCGTGAGCAGGCATAGGCGTAGGTGGTCCCGTGTTAAAGATGGCAACGAGTACCCAAAATCCGATGGGTTTTTACCTTATTAAGGCATGGGTTTGGATCAATTTCTCTACTCATGGGTTTGTTAATGGGCAAAAAACTAAACCTCAGCGGGTTTGCAGGCATGGGTTTGAGAGCATGGTACCCAAACCCGTAAACCCATGGGTTTTCTAAACATGGTATATCATAACATTTTACTTGTGATATATACCTATACAAATATAGAAAGATACTTTTAAAAAGTGCACAAACACAAATAAAAAAGACAGAAAAAATAATTCATGAGAGGTAAAAGATGCCTTGTATTTTTGGGCCACCGTGCCCACATGCGCTACGTACTAGCGCTTTGGCCTGTTGGATATCATGCATGGCGCATGCATATGCATCACCTAGGCCCACTACTGGCCCACCCACATGCCCCTCACGGCTACATGTTTGCGCATTTTCCCCATGCTAGTGGGCCTTGGTGCACGTAATGAACACATCAGGCCTGCAAGGCTACAATACAAGTAGTACTCCACCAATTAGTCCCACCTCGCCAGCAGATTGAACACTGGGTGCATAGATACACTATAAAGAAGAGTGGAGAGGGATGGAGTGACCAGGCAAATCTCTATTGGACTGTATTTTATCGGGCACGAGCAACCCGTGGGTACCCGTTCCCCGCGAGGGCGGCATGGGGTATGGGTTTTTTAATGGCCATAACTTCTTTTGTGGGCATGGGTATGTGTTTTTTACAAGTGGGTGCGAACCTGTGTTATCATTTCGTGTGTACATGTGTTTTATTTCTATACAAGACCCATAGCTGGGATGTTGCAACGTTACTCGGTGAGAAAATAAAACGAAATCTACGTAACGTCCAACAAGAATCTCCTTACGAGGTAGGGAAAGTGAAACATGCGATACGATTGTTCAGGACGCTGAATTAAAAATAAAAAATTAACGAGAATAATTAACGGGACACTTAGGAAAAAATAATAATTAATGAGAATAACTAACGGACACGTAGGAAGATGAAAATTTTGTGAATATGAATAATTAACAGGATACGTACAAAAATAATTTTTACAGATAGATGGAGCGTCTGATGGATCCGATTTGTTCGGATGTCTGGGCGGTAGTGGTAGGCCTTGTCTAATTTAGGGCGTAAAGTTTCGGATGTCACATCGGATGTTATATGGGGGAGTCACGTGGGGTGTTCGGATACTAATAAAAAAATAAATTACAGAATTTGTTAGTAAACCGCGAGACGAATTTATTAAGCTTAATTAACCCATCATTAGCATATATGTTACTGTAGTACCATATTATCAAATCATGGACTAATTAGGTTTAAAATATTCGTCTCGTAAGGTAGTCACACTCTGTGCAATTAGTTATTTTTTAATCTATATTTAATACTTTATGTATATGTCCAAACATTCGATGTGATAGGGTATAAAATTTTTGGGAGGAACTAAACAAGGCCTTACTCACCTTGATGGAGTTGTTTGGCATGAAAAAAAAACTATACACAGCACCAAGGTAGTCAGGTAATCTTGCTTAAAAAAAGTAGTCTCTCACAAGTAAAAAGAGTAAAAGGTGGATAATTTTTTGTGCGACAAAATTTGGGGCCATCGGTCTGCCTTTCCCCTGTGGTCCTTCCTACCGCTCGCC